TTTGGTTCGCTTGCAGACCCAAGTGGGTAAATGGGACAGAAGATTGAGATTCAGATAATATCTGTTCGCTGTTTGGACAGAGGTTGGACACATTTGCGTATGCTGTAACAAGGTAGATTTTGATACAAAACAAGGTTAAAGATAAACTCTTGATCACAGAGAGTTGACTAACAGCAGAGCTGTCTGTCTTATGAAGTAATGAATTTTCCATTGCAGTGAATATTCAAATAGCAGCTGCCTATCCGTTCTCCGAGATGTTGCAAAGGGGGAACTCTTCCCTGGGTAGACTTGAACTGTAAATGCTCAACTCTGGTTGGGGGAAGAGAAAGCCACTCCATTTCTTTTCCATTTCAAACCCTGCTCCTATCCCATATCATCTTTTCCTCACGTTTCTATCCCATTTCAACTTCTAAATTCTTAATAGCTCATGTTGTGTCTGCCAGAGATGCTCACAACACTCAGGATCCAACTGCCAGTCTGAGGCAATACTTATCACAAGCTATTTGTAGGAGTCTGCTGACCATATAGGCATTAAGCACATCACGGTGAATTTTTCTACAGAGCCAGTGTGTCAGTTCTCTCTCTCTCTGTGTGTGTGTGTGTGTGTATGTGTGTGTGAGAGAGAGAGAGAGAGAAAGGGAGAGAAAGAGAGAGAGAGAGTCAGTCTATCATCCCTATGCTTGCACATGGACATGAGTGTTATAACTGGAGTTATAGCTCATAGTAGCAGTTTGTTTAATAGGGTATTTGGGGGCGGGGAATAGCTCTGGCCTTGGTAACCAGGGAAGACTGTACTCCTGTCTTGTCTGCTACCTCTCCTTTCCCCTTCTCCAAATTCTACCTTAGCCCCAGGCTTACTGCTCAAGGTTAATTTCACCAGCTGCAGCTGTGAGTTGATCCTCCTCCTTCTGCCTCCTCCTCCTCCCTCCTCCTCCTCCCTCCTCCATCTACTACACACACATGGGCTTTGAGTTATGTGCCTCCTGTTCTAATGAGATAAACAACATAACTCTCACGAGGCTCTGCTCTTCCCTCTGTAAGTGGAACTCTGGGCTGGATTCGTTGGCCCTATAAAGGCACTCTGGTGTCTGTCAGCCTAGTGAGGAGGGCAAGGAAGGGGGCAGAAGGGCAAGAAAAGAGGGTAGGACTCCCTGAAAAGGCTCTTGGGCTCTGTGCTTGTTGATACAAGGTAGACTCAAAGCAGGCATTAAAGAGAGGCATGTTTCCATCCTTGTGGCTAAAGGACCAAATAATGGACAGGGTGGGTGGGGGCCAGGCATGCCATGTTGGTATAGGTAGGGTCCAAGACTCTTTTAAGCCAGCTAAACTCAAGTCAGAGCAAAAGGAGCTCTGGTAGGCTAATGCCTGAGGCATTTGACTGCTAACCAGAAGGTTGGCAGTTCAAACCCACCAGCTTGTCTGTGGAAGGAAGATGGGGCAATCTACTTCTGTAAAGATTTACTACCTTGAAAACCTAAAGGGGGTTGCTATGAATTGGAATTGACTCAATGGCAGTGAGTTTTTTTTTTTTAAAGTCATGATAATAACTGACTTTTGTACAAGGAGTCATGGATATGAAGAGCTTCCTCTTGAATATGCTAATGTCCATGACAGCTTCTCTAAAGTAGATATTGTTATCATCACCCTTATTTTATAGGTGAGAAACAGGTCTAGAAAAGTGCAATGATATTTCTAAGGTGATAGTCCTTGGTGGCACTGGGACCCTTTCCTCCAACACACCAAAACCAAAAAAACCAAATTCACTGCCATTAAGTCGAATCTGATTCATAGCGACCCCTCCTTGGTTTCTGAGGCAGTATCACTACGGAAGTAGATTGCCCAATCTTGCTTCTGAGGTGTGGCTGGTTGGTTTGAACTGCCAGCTACTCAGCCTATAGCTGCCTATAGGCTTGCTCTCCTGAGAGAGGGATAATTAGTTTGGATGTCTAGAAATGAGGATTGTTTCTGTTTTATTTTTTACATTTCTCCAACCCACCAAAGAAATGTAAAGAATGAAACAGAAACAGTCCTCATTTCTGGACATCCAAACTACTTATGCCTCTCTCAGGAGAGCACGTCTCTAACTATAGGCGGAGTGCCCTGAGGCTGCCTCAGTGAAATGACAGTGCTCATAGTATTTGGGAGGGTATATGGCCCAGACAAGTGTCAACAGGTTCGACCTCTTGCCCCTTAGACCTTTGGAGTGTGCTAGATGGACCAGCTCCTTCTCAGTCACTTGTTTTTGGTCAGGTTGGAAATTCCAGGAAGGAACTTACGGGATAAGAATGGAGCCTAGGACACAGAGACTGCCATAATAGGGTGGATAGGGTCAGGCTCTGGGCTCAGTTGTGAGCCCACCTTCTGGGACTCCTCTTGGATCATTTGGATCTGAGCAGATGAGAGTCTTGGAACTAGGAACAGCAGGGCCAGTGGTCCTTCACTCCCTGCATTTCTGAGTCCAATTCCATTCTAGGTGAGTTTATTTTGATAAGTATTTCTTGATGAGCAAGACACTATGTTAAGTGTTGTGGACACCAGAGACAGAGTTCCTTCAGTCCTGGATCTTATAAAACCAATGAGGAGGTAGCCAGTAAGCAGAAAATTAATGATTTTGCCAGGAAAGTATACAGAACCTTGGGATTCTACAGGAAAGGCCATTAAGTCAGTCTTGCTACGTCAGAGAAAACATCCCGGGTAGCAACTAGATGATGCTTAGACATCCAGCGATTCTCAGTCAGGGATTGGAACAATCTATAAAGTTATTTTAAAAATGTTGACTAATTTTCCCACTCCACCTACGTTCTGATTGCATTGGTTTGACATAGATCCTGGGCATTGGTATTTATTTGTAAGTCTTGGCATGAGATTTTGGTTTCGGCTTAGATTAGGAATCACTAACCCAAGGTGAGTTTGAGAGGGGTTTGGTGAGACCCGTTATGGGATGTGGAGTAGCAAGTCAGCCCTTGTACTTGACCTTCTCTGGGATCATGGGGAACACTAACCCCAGAGGTGGCCTGAACATCTGGAAGGGATCCATAATCTATGCACTCATTCAGAGATTACAGGACCAGAGATGACATGGGCTTGGAGTGAACCACATCAGAAACCTTGGGCTAATCCTAGTGAAGTCTTCCTTCAAAGAGAGGTCAAATCTGGACCTCCCATGAGAGAGAGAAGGGGGGGGGGGAAGAGAACGAGCAATTCCCATTTTATTGGCTAACTCAGTTTTCTATAAATCAGCCACAAGTCTGGTACTCAGAGCTCAGAGAGTTAGGAGCTTCAAGGCCCTCTTAATGTGCAGAAGCCCATGAAGTTATCAACGAAATCAATATTAGGGTGACTCAGAAATGACAAACCCATCAGCTCTGTAGCTCATGAGAACCCTAGTGACTGCGACAATACCCCAGGTTTTGCTGGAGCCTCAAGTCTCCATCACACTTACTGGTTTCTAAGAATCAAAGGAGAAAGTGTCAGAACCCCTTACTTGTTTGTAGTCTTTCAACCTGAGGCAGCAGCTATATGATTAAAAATGATACTTAGCACATAATGAGACCTGAAGATTTTGGTTACTTTAATGTTGGGATAATTGCTCCTGCTTTGGACTCAACCCAGTGAATGGGTAGAGGTAACTGATAAAAATGAAAAATAGGTGAATGAATATACAACAACAAAACTTTGTAGATTTTCTTGTGAAAGGTATAAAATGAAGTCAGTTTCTCTTAACTTTTAAAGGTCCCCAAACAGGAGATAGGAATGGAGTTCTGATGCTTACTGATGCTCATAATCCTGTCTCTAGGTAGTGACACTCTCATGTGATGTTTTCTGCATCTAACAGCTGCTGGTTATCACAATTATCTACAAAAGAAAGAGTTGTGACTTACAAGTCAAACTGGAACATATTATTTTTTTTTTTATTAGTTATTGATTCAAGAAATATTTAATTTGGTTCTTCTATGTGTCAGGCACAGTTCTAGTTCTGGGGATTCTGATGGAAACAATACATTCAGTGTCCCTGTCCTCACTAAGCTAGGTGGGGTTGATTGCTTGGCTGGCTTGGTTATTTTGGGGTACATGGGATAATCTTTTCAGGCTGCTTATCATCTGGCCAGTCTTCAGCACCTTCTTCCTTGCCCCTATGCATCTATTCCCTGTCCTTCCCTTTGGGAATAGACCTGGGTCTAGTGTGGGGACCTGCATTCCTCTGGCTGCCACACTGTAACACAGGAGCCATGAGAATAGTGTCTGATGAGCAAGAAGGCCCCTTGTGGGCTGCTTGGTAGGAGAAATGATGCTGATGTGGAACTTTGGTATTGAAGGCCAAATACAAAAGGGAACTGTAATTGGGAAGCAGTGTGGTACATAAGCCCCAGCAGATAGTCAGGGATATGGCTATGCTGCCCCTGCAGGCCCATGAAACCTGGTCACCAGAGGAGGCTTATATTCTGATGGAGGTTACACAGGGCTTCCTTTTCCTTCAGCATGCTGTGCAGCTAGCAGTGAATGGGGAAATCAGTAAGTAGGAGAACTGACTCCTTGATCTGTTTTCCCTGAGCTATTTTTCAATCCAGGGTATTCAAGGGTGAGCTGACTGATTTCGGCTGCTCCACCTTGAAAGGAACATGATCATCCTGGACCTAGACAGATGGGCAGAAGCCGGAGCTCCATTGCCCTTGGAAATACTGTACAGACGTTGATTCTGAAAGGCTCCTCTTATGATCTGCAGGTCCCTCTGACATTCCCCTCTCAGGCCAGGAGAGCAGAACTGGGTTGTTAAAGATGATGGCTCTTTTTGGCATGGGTTTACAGAGCAAGGGTCCTGGGGTCAGTGCCCCTCCATTCTGCTTTGGTTCTACCATCAGCCAACTGTGTGACTTTGCTTGACAAGTCTACTTCTCTGGGCTTCAGTTTTCTCCCACTGAGAACGAGAGAGTTGGACAGGATGGTTTCCAAGGGCCCGTCCAGTCTGGAGCCTTTCACCTTTTCACTGTTTTTGTCCACAGGACTTGCTCCAGGCCAGCTGTACACATACCCAGCCCGCTGCTGGCGCAAGAAGAGACGATTGCATCCGCCTGAGGATCCAAAGCTGCGGCTGCTAGAAATAAAACCTGGTCAGTGCCCTAGAGTTTGGCTGTGCCCATGATGGGAGAGGTGGGGAGGGCTGGACTGGGCCCAGGCCAAGCCTGGTTTGCTCCTTTGTCATACGGCTGATTTTTCCAGGAGAGTAAACATACCCCCACCATGCTCAAAGGTGTGCTGCTGTGCCTGCTCTCATGTGAAAGTGTCCACCTGCCCACCTGAGCCTGCTGCCCCTCCAATTGTCTCATGCCCCAGAGGAGTAGAGCAAGCAGGGTGGGAACAGACCCAGGCTGAATGACTTTCCTGACAGAACTGAAGGAGCTGCACTTTGCTTGGGTCATGTGATACCTTCCTTGTGGCTTTGAGTAAAGAAACCATATCCAGCATTGTGAGTTCCTAAGGAGAAGAGTGTGAACCCATATACCCTCTCACTCTTACCCTGTATGAACTTCTGGAGCATTTTACCCAGAAAAGGGCCAATTCACTAAAAATAGAACCTACCTTGGACATGGAAGTGGAAGAGTTTGAGTTTAAAATTTCCCTCTAGATGACGTGGACTGTTTTGTGAGCATGCAGAAGGAATTCGTTAGTTTATCTTGACTACGAATTTGCTTTTACACTGCTGATTACATGGCTCTATCTGGGTTGTAGGAAGACCAAGTGATTGCCCTGGGTCATTAGCTTTAAGGGAACTTCTTTGTTGGAGGGGTTCCAGGGGCTAAGATATGACTCAGGTTTGTGGAAGCACTGCTGCCAAGTGGCACAAATACAGAGTTGAGATGTTCTTTCCCATTGTCACCAAGGTGATGCTGGCTAGGCCCTCACTTCTTCCTTTCCACACTCTCTAGGCTGCTTTTACTCTGCAAAATCTCTACTTACAGTGGTTCAGGGTGCTTTCACTCATAGCTTCATGATTAAGAATTCCTTGGTTGGTCACTTCAATTTGTTAAGGATGTGTGGGGGCTGGATTCTTCCATGTGTTCCATCTAGGTTCTCAAATGTCCTTATGCAATTATGAAGTATAATTTACAGACTTGCAAATACTCCAGGGTAATGATTAAGGTTGTTCCAAACCCACAGAGATGCAGGTTAAAGCATGGTCCAGTAGAAATAAAATGCAAGCCACATGTGTCATTTTAAATTTTCAAGTAGCCACATTTAAAAAGTGGAAAGCAACAGGTGAAATTAGTTTTAATTTTAATATGATCTCTTTAACCTGATATATAAAAAGGTGGTCATTTTAGCATATAATCAATATAAAAATTGTTAATGAGATATACTTTTTTATTTTATTTTATTGTCTTTGAATTCCATTGTGTATTTTGCATTTTCAGTACATACATCTAAATCTGGACTAGCCTTGTTTCATGTGCTTGATGGCCACTTTGGCTAGTGGCACCAGTATTGGTCAGCAAAACACAATGCAAATGCAACCACTGCCATTTAATCAGATCTGACTCATAGCGACCCCTCCTTGGGTTTCTGAGGCGTTACCACTACGGAAGTAGATTGCCCAACCTTCCTTCCGAGAAGCAGCTGGTGGGTTTGAACTGCCAGCTTTCTGGTTAGTAGTCAAATGCCTTAGGCACGTGGTTCTAGAAATATACTCAAAATGTGCCCCTGACCAGCAGCAGAGGCATCACCTGGGAGCTTGTTAGAGAATCTTGGGCCCCAACCCAAACCTGCTGAGTCAGAATTTGTATTTTAATAAGCTCCCCAGGGAATTGGAATGCACAATGAAGAAACTGTAGTCTTGAAAGTGGCCAGACCACAAGTAAGGTGACCAGATCACAAGTAAGTATGGAATGATTCCATATCACCTACCTTTCTGAATTAAACATAACAAATAATTGTTGATATAAATGGTTCATTTTGGAGGGGTGGGGGACTTCTTTATTCCAATTCCATGGTCCTGGTCTCATGGAAGTGTCATGGATGAATAATGAGGTAACCCTTGGTTTGGCCCTACCTGAACCCCTTTAATTCTACTCCATTTAGAACCCTGCAGTAGATCCTGCAGCAAGAGAATAAACACGTGCTGAGTTGGGCATGTGGTCGTTGGAGAAGGAACTATTCATGTGTCTGTCACTAGCAGGAGGTGTCTCCTTGTTTGAGTATAAAATACTGAATATTTTGTGTGTTTTTGAGGATATCTCATATGTAATTTGTTAATTGAAAACATTCCTTAAAAATTATTGACCCTAGTTTTATTTTTTAACATTTTCTTAACATTTATGTGAAAATAGTCTTTATTAAGCACACTTTCTATCTAATTGGATTTTCTTTCATAAAATCAAAGGCAACTAGTTATTTTACTGAGGTCCAGAGAGGTTAAGCACCTTGCTCAAAGTCACACACATCAATTCCTGAGGCATCCTGAGGGAATTCAGGTTGGTTGATTTCCTTATTTAATGCCTTTTTCTGCTTCTTAATGCTACTGATAGGTATATGAACTTTACAGACTTTAGCAACAACAAACTTTAATAAGACCTTTTCCCTTAAACAAACAAACAAACTTTAATAAGACCTTTTCCCTTAAAACTCTATGTTGTTATTGTTGTTGTTGTTATGTACCGAGTCGGACCTGACTCATAGCGACCCCTCCTTGGGTTTCCGAGGCAGCATCACTACGGAAGTAGATTGCCCCATCTTCCTTCCGAGGAGTGGCTGGTGGGTTTGAACCGCCAGCCTTCTGGTTAGCAGTCAAGTGCCTTAGGCAGTACGCTACCAGAGCTCCCTAAAACTCTATGCAGTATATATTAATTACCAAAATAAACCAAGAGATAGTTGCAATTCTTCTGGTCATAAATGTCAGAAACTAAAATGGAACTAGTTTAAGACAAAAACAAACAAAAATCCCACCACCACCAAAAAAGGGGAAATTGGTGCCTAAAACAATAAATCTGGGGGTTCACCTGACTTCAGGCATGACTGCATCCAGAGGCTCAAATATTGTAGTGAGGATTCTGTGTCTCTTTCCACCTCTAATACTCTCCTCTCCTGGGGCAGATGAAGATGGCCACCAGCAGCCCCAGATTCGGCGCTCACCACACTCACCAGAAAGGCAATCCCCTTCAACAGCTGTGGCAGAGAAGTCCCAGGGAAGATGGTTATTGGGCTATGTTTATACCCACTCCACCAATCACTGCCATCCAGAGGAATGGGTCCTTCTGTTTTGAATAATAATAATCAAAACCAGTGTCTGAACAGCATGTTGTAGTTTATAAAGCCCTTTACGAACCATTTTCATACATCTCACTTTCTTTGGTGCTCCCTGCAGACCTGATATCTAGAGAGGGAAGGGGTATATGTGTTATAAGCCCACTTTATAGGTGAGGGAAGCCAGGCAGTGGACAGAGCCTAGGAGGGTTTACTGTGCAGCTCACATATCTGAGAAACACCAGTTCCATTGTTAGTGGGACTGAGGCAAGAAGCTGGTTTTCAAATGCCTGGTTCTTCTGTCACAAGCTGTCAGAGATTTATTTTGGGCACGCTACCTTCCCAGTGTTCATGTCTGTCCTGCCTATTGCCAAATGGGCAACAGCTGGGGTTACAGCTGACTTTAGACCTGCTCCAGCCTCGGGCCTTACTGACATGTGTAGCTAGAGAAGACCCCAAGGCTGGTGGTTTGCTGTAGCCAAGTTCCCATCAGCACATCATGTCTCTGTCTGTGCTCCTTTGAAAGACTTCCTTGGCCTCTGCCCCAAGCATGAGGCAGAAGTGGTGCCATCAAGTCTCACGTGGTCAAGGGCTGTCTGTGGAGACAGTCAGGGTCATGTAGAGGGACTCTGCCTAGAGAGATAAGCACCAGCCTCCATATGGGTGGGCCCTTAGAGGCATAGCTGTACCTCAAGGTGGGAAAAGATCCGGTTAGACTTGGGCTCCCCCACATGAGCACTCAGGTGCTAAGAAACAACAGACAGCCCAGGGATGAATAAATAACTCTTCAAATGATAGAACTCCTTCTCAGATAAATTTTATCCCCCCTCTTTAAGTAATCAGACCAACTACTAAGCCTACTTAAAAAAACAAAAGCAAACAAACAAAAAACAACCAAACAAAAAGCATTTGGCCAGTGTTTGTCATTTCCTGATCCTGTTCTGAGTGTCTATCCCAGCAGGGCAAGACCTGGCCCTCACCAGGCACAACTGCAGCTTGTGAATAAAGACACCACGGGCATGCCTGAGAGTCAGTGATAACGAGCCTCAGCCTCAAAGCAGCCAGGGCCTGTCGAGAGGACATGAAGCAGCAGGACCAAAGAAATGTAACTGTCTCTTCCCAGAGGTGATACAAGTTTACACTGGAATTTTTCACACAAGGCAAAATTTCAGAAAAGGACATTCATTCAGGGCCTCAGCTAGGCCAATGGTGTCTTTGTGTGAAAGCAGGAGGCACCTCCTCTGCTTGGACATTTACAAAATGGTGCCCCTCCTGGTAGTTACTAGAGTACAAGCTGGATCTCAGCCCTCTATGTCCCCTTGGCAGATGACCCCATGCAGGATGCAACCTGCATACCTTTCAGTGTCTCTGTCTTCATCATTTATAAAATACACAGCTTCCAGCTGAGAGGCTATACCCCCTTTTTGAGGGGATGTGTCCTCTCTAATTACAGGATAGACTTGAACAATATTTTTAAACAGTTGTCTCACTTCTGAGGCACACTGGTTGAACAGTGGTTAAGTGTTCGGCTGTTAACCAAAAGGTCAAAGGTTCGAGCCCACCAGCTGCTCTGTGGAAGAAAGATTTGCTTCCGTAAAGAATTAGAGCCTTGGAAACCCTACGAGGCAGTTTCACTCTGTCCTATAGGGTTACTATGTGCCAGGATCGACTTGATGGCAATGGGGTTTTGGTCTCATTTCTATTCCATTGGATTTGGTGTAAGGAGAGTTAGATTTTTGGGTGATATTTTTCCATGTGACTCAAGGTTGTTGTTGTTAGCTGCCCCATTCAACCCTGATTCATTACTTATTTCCCCTGGGTAGAGTCCCTGGAGAACTTGTTGTGGATTCCTGGTTAGGAAGACAGTCATCTG